AGTGGTGTAGGTGCACTGAACAATGATGTAGCCACACTGGACGATGGTGCAGCTACAAAAGATGATGGCACAACGACACAGGATGATGGTGAAGCCGCAATGGATGATGGTGCAACCACCAGTGCTGGTTCTGGACCAGTGCGACTGATCGACCGCACAGGGCCCCCTAAAATTGGGGGCCCTAATTTTTTTTTAAAAAAATTGGAGCTGTGCCTTGGCCTCACCCTGACTAAGGCCCACCCACAGCCAAGTCTTTAAGCTCCCACAGTAGAAAACCCTAACTCTATTCTCTCTTTCTCCCACTCCCTACCGCCGCCTCCTCTCAGTCTCTCTCAAACATCGTCATCATTGTATCGCTGATTGGGCACGACATCAGAAGAGGAGGAGGGAGGACATCAAGAAGGAGCAAGGTATGCTTGGTTTTTGAATTGGGTATATCAATTTGGGCTTTTTTGATGGTGAGAAGTGGTGATGCCATCAATTAGGGTGCAATTGATATTTTATTGCTTATTTTGGCAAATTAGGGCTGAAGAATTTGGGTGTTTTTAGTGGCCATTTAAGAGGAAACCTTGGATGAAAACCCTTGGATGAAGATTTGTATGTTGGTACTTGGTACACATTGTATCTTTTGGTTTTCTTAATTGATTAAGTTTGTATGACGTTTTTAGCTTCTGAATATGATGTCTACAACTTGGACAACATAGTGAATTGTGACCAACCTGATGCTGATGACGCTTTGGTTGTTTGGTTGATTGAACTCATTTTTTCATCAAATTCATACGCTTTAGATTTATAATAATATGGCTAGAATTTTAAATTATTTTCCCTATCGAGGTGTTAACTGTATTATGCATTTAGTGGTCTTTCTTTTTCTTATGAATGCTTTCTTTCATTTTACAGGTTGGACCGTGGGAAAAAGAAAATCAACTATCTTTTACAGACTACTCGAGTTCCTCTTCCACTTGATTTAAGGCTTCAAATTAGGTTGTATTGTTCTGAATATTTTCACTTCTTTTAATTTGATTATAATATTTTTTTGTTTTATTATAGAAAATTAGAAATGTCTCTAAGATAGTATCCTTCTGGATATGATAAACGTAAGAAAAAAGAAAAATTGAACAATTTGTCCAAACTCAAAGTGGAGCGCTTGATAAATTCATTGTTAAAGAAACACGATATTTAGTTGAAAATTCAATTGAAGATGATAACATTAATGATTTGGACCTGAATGAGTATGAGAATGAAAATGTTGATGATCAAAGTAAAAATGAAAGTGATAATGAAAATGAGAATCAGAATGAAAATGAGAATGATAATGAAAATAAAAATGATAATGAAAATGAGAAACATAATGAAAATGAAAATGAGAATGAGAATCAGAATGAAATTGATATTGACAATGAAAATGAAAATGAGAATGAAAATATTTTAGGCAATGAACTTGATATTGACAATGAAAATGAAAATGAGAATGAAAATATTTTAGGCAATGAACAACCTAATCAGTCCATGCTCATGAAGAATGAAAATATTTTAGGCAATGAACAACCTAATCAGTCCATGCTCATGAATTTAAATATTTATGATCCATGAACTTGGGATAATTTGGACACAAAATCTAGAGATATATTTGTAAAAAATGGCCATATAAGAGATCTATTAGTCAAAAAAGGTCCTAAAGATAAATTAGGAAAATGTTTTTCTTCGTCATTTTACACTAGGAATTTATCAAATGGAGAGGAATGTGATAGGGAATTGTTAGTTTATTCAAAGGATATCGATAAAGTATTCTATTTTTGTTGTAAATTGTTTAAAAATGGTTTTAAGAGAAGTTATTTAATAAATGAAGGATTTAATGATTGGATACATCTTAGTGCTAGGCTTAAAGACCATGAAACAACTAATGAGCACATCATTAGCATGAGTACTTGGCTTGATTTACGCATAAAATTAAAGAAAAATAAAATGATCGATAAAAATATTCAAGAGCAAATTAATAAAGAGAAGGAACATTGGAAGAAAGTATTACAACGAATAATTTCTGTTGTTAAATATCTGGCTAAACATAACTTGGCATTTCGAGGAACAAATGAGAGAATTTATCAAAATAATAATGGAAATTTTTTAGGCCTAATTGAAATGATTACAGAATGGGATCCTGTAATGCAAGAACATGTTCGACGTATTGACCATGGTGAAATTTTTCGATGATACTTTTCGATGCTAAAGGCTTTGATATCTCTTATGAAGGTAAGCACATATACAAGAGGAACATAATATGCAAGTATTTCTTATTGTAGTCTATTTGCTCTATTGGAAAGCTTTATTAAGGTGGGATTACATGCATTTATCTGATCAGTAACATTTTATTCAGGTGACCGAAAACATGAAGAATGAGCAATAGCACTTGAAAAGTATGTTAAAGACTGTCCAGATGTAAAAAATTCAGGTAATATTTTAATGTCTGATCTGTAACATTTTGTTCCATATCATTTTAGGGATTCAAATTGGAATATTTTGATATTTTGTATATAGCGAAGGGCCATGTGTTTATTTTTCGCACAGGGCCCCTAAAATCATAGAACCGGCCCCGGTAACCACTTCGATGATGAGCAGCTGCCTGGTGGAGGCGACTTATAGCCGTCTGGTTTGGGTTTGACAGAAGCATATATTTAAAGTTTTTGTTAGAAATGTCTGACCCTATGGTCAAGCTGCGTGATTTTATTTCAATCCGTCTGGTTAGGCATTTCGGTATGGTTTGGTGCATAGTTTCATGAACGATCTTTTTAACTAGTCGTGTGATACATATTTTGTTTGTATGTTATCCTCTGTCCCCCAAGTTTTAACCGCACATTACTACGTGTGGATTGGATAAGTTTAACTATTATTTGGGTATTTTTGCCCCCACATTTGAAAGTAACCAAATAAACTAATAGACACTCTCACACACACATATATATAGAGAGACAAATAAATATGTATATATGTATTGGTATTTCTGTGTATGTGTGTGTGTCTACATATATGTATACATATGCATATGTGTGGGCCTGGATAAATTTAACTATTATTTGGGTATTTTTGCCCCTACTTTTGAATTTGACCAAATAAACTAATACACACTCACACACGTATATATAGACACATACATATGTATATACTTATAGGTATTTGTGTGTATCGGTGTGTGTATATATGTACATGTATGCATATGTGTGTATTTATACACACACATATATGTATATGTACATGCGTATATATATAGACACATATAATGTATATGTACATATACATGTACGTATGTGTATGTATGTATGTGTGTGCCTCTCTCTCTCCCTCTCTCTCTGTGTGTGTGCGCGCGCGCGCGTGTGTATATATATATATACATATAGATGTATATGTACATGTATGCATGTATGTTGTTATAGTATTCCAACTCTTGGACATACAACACATTAGTAAACAAATGGATGTAACCTTATACGTCTTCCCCCGCTCAAAGGGATGGCCCAGATCCCCTATAGTCCAACTAAGTCGATTCGTCTAGTCATCATTCTTCCATGCCGAAACGAAAGGCGCAATTAGTCGGTCTTCTCATTCATGACGGCCTACCAAGAGTCTACTCGATTACTCGTCCAGAACACCTCTTGAAACCACCTCGAAACGGCATTACTTCTCAACGAAGCTTCCCTCACTGGCTACATGTCTGCATAACATTTAACGCATAGCAGGAGCATTATTTCTCTAGCCCAATAGTCTTGATGACTATTCGGACCACGTGGGCCACAGTCCTGCCACTGATCACATCCCATTTAATGCAGAAGTGATCTACCCTCCAGTCGCCAGCCGACGCCGGTAAAGTAAAAGCTGACTTAACTGCTAACCCACACTTCACCACCGTATCATTGTGCTCGGTCGAGGTGACAAATTAACTCCTCATGCTTCGGATATAAATACATATATCATTCGAACTTACAGGGGACTTTTGGAAAAAAATACAAATTGAACCCTGGAGTATTTTTCTGCACACAAGAACACACTGTTCTAACTTTTCCCCACTCAAGTTCATCAACTAGATCGTTAGAGGTACAACAGGGAAACTAATCCCCGCCCTCGTACGAGTTTCTACACACAAGTATTTTTCTAAACACAAGAACACCCTCAAACGAGTTTCTACATGTGCAGATTGATCAACACCCAAACTCAAGAGCCAAATATAGAGTCAGGGAAGAAAACGACCCTTCATTAACACTGAACCGAACCTATCCGCTTCTGGATAATATTGACTATGTGATCTTAGTCATCAACAGTTTGGCGCCCGCAGTGGGGCTACTTTTTCTTTTTTGAGAAAACATGTCAGGTTCTAAGCAAGGGTCTAACCAATCTCGCCCTGTAGAATACCATAATAATGTCACTCGAGGTCAACTCGAGGACACTACTCACTGGCTTGCTCAATCCTTTTAGGAGCAACTTGTCATCTTTACTAACAAAGTCCTTGACCGGCTTCCACAACAACAAGAAGTGTCATCGTCTCATCGCCTGCATAATCTAGACCGAAGACTGGAGAGTTCTCTCCACTATGGAGCATGGTGAGAGGTCCCACCTCGGACTCCTCGCATAGCTGTTTATCAGCCAAGTCACACTTGACGATATGTTTCACTCTCTCGTCGCACACTCTGCCAAGAAGAACCTCACCTCTAACCTCTCGCCGAATAGGAAAGTACTGGTGAGAGTTCTGGTCCTAGCCATCCTAGAGACCATAATGAAGGAGCCTATAGGGCCCATCATTGCCACCATACATCTTCATCCCCCTCTACCACCGTAAGGGACTTCGATTATGATCGAGTGTAGAAGCTATCGGGGGAAACACCCCCTTCTATGACGACATAATGAATTACCCATTCGAGAAGTTCAAAATGCCCCACGTAGAGATATATACACGTGAAGGAGACCCTGCTGAGCATGTTCAAAACTATTACGACATAATGAGCATGCTCTAAGTTTTGGAAGCAACCCTCTGCCGATGCTTCCCGATCACTCTTGCAGGGAGTGCTAAGCTTTGGTGGAATGCTCTCAGAAGGAAATCCATCAATAGCTTTTGTATGCTCAACCAAAAATTCATCCATCCCTTCCTGGCTGATACCAAGCAGAAATTGCTCCCCTAGTGTTGATTCAGATGAGGCAGGGGCCTAAAGAGAGCCTTCGATCCTATTTCAAAAGATTTCAGGCGAAGAGACTAGGGGTCATTGACCTAGGAAGTGCAATTGCCATGTCCGCACTCGTCTTGGTCTTGCAGAACAATGAGTTAGCCGACTCACTTGTCAAGAAGCCTGTTGACAACTACGAGCAGTTGATAGCCAAGGAACACAAGTACATGGATTTGGAGGAGGCCCGAGCCCATAAAACATCAACTAGGAGCCTAGAGACCTCTGCGGCCATGGCATTAACGCCACTAAGGGCTACAACCATATTGTCCACCCGATAGCCACACCGACTTTTGGACTAACTCAAGAATCGGCGAGAGGCCTCCCTGCAAGGCGAGAATGGCCTAAAGACCCCCCAAGATTCGACCCTCACTCCAACTGAACAAATATGAGGGACCGACAGAGATGCCATGAGACAAAAAGAAACCTCACAATCTTCGACACCTCTCTCACCAATGCTCTCGCTATGGTCCAGAGAGAGGGATACCTTAAAGAGCCCGCAACTAATTGATGTCAAATCCAAGGAATCATGATACCCGACAGTTTTGTCGGTATCATCAGGATCACAGTCATCTCACTAATGACTGTTGCGTCCTCAAGAGGGATATTGACGATTTAATAGAAAGGGGGTATTTAAAGAATCTTGCCACTTGATGGTATCGTCGGGAATCTAACCGGCATCAAGCCTAAAGTAGGTCCCATTCGTGGTCACCTCATCCTCGACCGCATCAGGAAAATCGAACCATGGAGCCTAGCCATAAAGAGGTCATCAATACCATCAGTGGTGGTCCCACTACTGTAGGATCTTCTAACAATGCTTGGAAAAATATGCTAAGAGGGCATTGCGAGTCTACGAAGTTGAAAAAAAAATAAATACCGACGAACCCATATCCTTTGGGGACGCTTATCTACAAGGTATGGAAACACCCCATGATGATACTATTTTTATCACGGCAAGAATCAACTACTACCGGGTGAAACAAATTATAGTCGACACATGAAGCTTGGTATATATCATGTACGTCGATGCCTTCAATAAAATGGGTATCGATAGATCTCATTTAGTCCCCTTCAGGGACCCCTTATCAGCTTCACTAGGCACTCTCTTCTTCCAGAAGGAATGACCACTCTCCCACTAACGATAGGAGATCACCCAGACAGGTTACTGTCCCAATCCAATTCTTGATAATGGATCTCAAGTCGGCCAACAATATTATCCTTGGTCGAACTGCCCTCCACTTGTTGCGAGCCATTCCCTCAACTTATCACCAAATGCTCAAGTTCCTGACTCCCAATGGAGTCGGTATGGCTAGGAGCAACCAACGAGAGGCTAGATCTTGCTATCAGCTCTCAAGCAAGGGTAAGGGTGCGCAAGATGCCCTACCTGTCGAAAAGGCCTGCCTCTAACTGGAGGAAACAATGGAGCATCAGAGGACAACACCGATGGAGGAGCTTCAGGCGATACCCATTAACCAAGAAGGATCGAAGACGGTTAAAATTGGGTCAAGCTTAGTTGAACACTTACGAGGGGCTTTAGTTGAATTCCTACAGGCGAATGCTGATGTATTTACGTAGGCACCCGAGGAGATGCCGGGGGCTCCCCCCGAAGTCATCAGCCATGAGCTAGCTGTCGACAAACGCACCAGCCTTCTTAGAACCGGCTTCATCCAGGAAGTCCAATACCCGGAGTGGCTAGCTAATGTTGTCTTGGTGAAAAAATCTACGAATAAATGGCGAATGTGTGTAGACTTCACCGACCTCAATAGAACCTGTCCTAAAGACAGCTACCCTCTGCCTCAAATTGACCAATTAGTTGATGAGAGTATGGGCCATAAGCTGCTCAGCTTCATGGATGCCTTCTTCGGCTATAATCAGATTTGTATGCCAGAGCATGATCAGGAGAAGACCTCTTTCATCACCGATCTAGGCATCTATTGTTATAAGATGATGTCATTCGGTTTGAAGAATGTAGGACCTACCTATCAGAGACTTCTCGTTAGAGTCTTTAAACTCCAGATTAGGCATAATCTGGAGGCTTATGTTGATGACTTGTTTGTGAAATCAAAGTAAGCATCCGGCCATATCTCAGACTTGGACAAGACCTTCTCCACTCTCCGACGTTACCGGATGAAGCTCAATCCCTCCAAGTGTGCCTTTGGGGTAAAATCGAGAAAATTCTTGGGACTTTTGACCACACAGAGGGGTATAGAGATCAACCCTAAGAAGATAGCCGCCATTAACCGACTACTAGAACTACGCACACTCAAAGGCATTCAAAAGTTGAATGGAAAGATTGTGTCTCTGGGTCGATTCCTCTCTAAATCTGTCGAGAGGAGCCTCCCCTTCTTTAAAATTCTAATGGGAAGTAAGAACTTAAAGGAGAATACGTCCTGGATGTCATAGTGTAGTGTCGCGTTTCAAGAACCTAAAGCCTATCTGAGTACTAAACCACTACTGAGCCAACCCATGAGTGGAGAGACATTGTACCTATACATGGTCATCTCCCCCAAAACTTTTAGTTCTGTTATGGTTCGGGAGGAGGAGAATATTCAGAAGCCTCTCTATTATGTGAGATGGATCCTCAAGGTGGGCGAACTAAATTAACCTCTCATAGAGAAGGCTGCCTTTGCCTTTATCATCACCGCCAGGAGACTCCGTCCATACTTTCAAGCTCATGCTATTATTGTACGAACAAGCCTACCTTTAAAGAAAGCGCTAGGCAGCCCCAT